GCCACAAATGCAAATCACCTCCACGCCCGTGGGAGGGCCGATATCGCCCTGGGGCTCCTCCAGCCAGCCTGGGCGCAACATCTCGCTCGGCGTGGCGTTGAAGTCGCCCGGTAGCAGCCAAGGGGCTCCCGGCGACTTGACGATGCGGGTGGTCCAAGCCATTCTCTCGGCACTAATGCCGCCCAGGCCTATCGAGCAATCTAAAAGGCACACGGTGAATGCAAAGGTCGCGCCGTGGGATCGCTATGATACCATTGAGATACCCCGCAGCGCGTCGTGATAGATGCTCTTGGTCTTGGGTCCCTGGAGATGGACGCTGGTGGCGTACGTGGCCCGTCGGAGCCAGAACGTACCCCCGTGCGTGCCCTTGACTGACCTTCCTGTTGCCGTCGCCGCCGCCCAGGTACCCTCCAATCTTCAACCAAAATTGCGGAGCCTACGCTCGTTTCGTTGGCATCCCATTTCTCCAAAGTGATGTTCGGCCAATGCCACGAGACCGAACGGGGCATTCTGAACAAGATGCTTCACCTTTGGGCCGTAGCTGGTCACATTGCCGAAGAAGATCGAGACGTGCTTGCGTTGGCCAAAAAGGGGTGCCTCCTTCATGCTGTACTGGTGGGGCTGCTGCTGCTGGCTGCAGGCGGCTACCCGCCCGATGTGGTAGCTGGTGCCCCAGCGGCGGGGGTATCGGTCTTGGTGGCTGCCTTGGCTGCCTCCGCCGCCGCCTCTCTTCCCTTGATGGCCGCAGTCTTCTGGGTGAATTCGTTAACGTTCTTCGGGTCCGATAGGTCAAGGCCAGCTTAGCCCTGTACCTGTGCCTCCGCGGGCGCCTCTGGGGCCGCGGGTGCTCCTGGTGTGACGCCTGCTGCAACGTCTGCCTCGCGCCTCTTAGCCGAAGCTGCCTGCTCTCGTAGCTCAAGTAATGTCCTGGCCGCGTCTTGGGTCTGCTGTCCGATGTCCACCGCGCACTTGTAGACCTCCTGCGCCTTCTTGGCGTGGCCGAGCGCCTCCTCGTAGACCTTCTTCTGCTCTTGCGTGAACAGCTCGACATCCTCCGTGGCCAGCTCAGGGAACTGGAACTGCGCGTCGCTGCCGCCATGCTTGTCGTCGACGTGCTTGCAGGAAGTCGCGCTTTTGGCCGCGGTGGTGAGGCTGATGAGACGGTTGACCTCTGTCTGAGCCTCCGCGCACGACCTGACGTTCTCTTCCAGCTTGCCCAGAAGCTCCTTCCCGTGCTTAGCGTTCGCCACCAGCTGTCTCTTGAGCTTCTCCTGCTGGGTGTGCAGCATGCGCAGGCAGGCTGCCTGCTTCTCGAGCTGCACTTCTGGGGCCTCTGGTGGAAGTGGTCGATCAGCTTCGGCGAATGCAGGGCAGACCACCTCCAGCGCCTTGATGGTGGCCTTGTCCTTGTCCGTTTTGGCTGCCTTGTACTTGGGCAGCAGCTGCTCGAGGAGAGCCGCGGCGGTGCCGTCGCCGCTGGGCTGGTCCTGCAGCGTGAAGGTGACCACTTTGTGGCTGCTGCCAGACTGCTGCTTGGGCCAAGGTATTCTGCAAGCCGACAGGATTCCCAGCTTGCTGTGCCCGCCGACGACGATGACGATGATGCCGATGATGCTGATGCTGCTGATGATGATGATTACTATAATGATGATGAGGATGGGAAGGAGAAGGAGAAGGAGGAGGAGGAGGAGGAGGAGGAGGAGGAGGAGGAGGGAGAAGAAAAGGGGGAGGAGGCCCACCCCTTTACTCGACGCCCGAGCTTTGCTTCCACCAGCCTTCCGCCAGCAGGGCCGCCGCCCGAGGGCGAGCCGCGTCGGTGGCGAGAGGCTCGCCGAGGACGAGGCCCTCGGCGAAGGACCCCGCGGGGCCCACGGGGCCTCGGAGCGTCCTCAGGAGAGCCCCCGAGAGACCCGCGTGCCGACGACGACGGCGACGACCCGTATCATAAGGATGCACGATAATGATGCACGGTCCTGGTCGACACTTTGCGGGCGGGGCGCGGCCAGCGAAAGCGGCAAAGGACTGGCCGAGAGGGTACCCTTGGGGAGGTTCTTGACCATCCGCACTAGAGAAGGCGACGCGTGACGGTGAGGGCATTGGATAAGGAACCATGTCGGCGAAGGAACGCTCCAAGGGGCCACGGGGCGTCCTCAGGAGACCACCCGAGAGGGTGGGCCGCAGAAGGACAAACCGAAACTATCCTTGACACCCTCGGGCCATGAAACATTCACATCGTGCGTTTTTTTGCAATTTTCGGCCTCTGGGGGGCCCTTACAGGGCCTCAGGACCGTCCAATCACGAGTGAGGATGAAAACCTTTCCTGGGGAATGGGTCCATACCTTTGGGGGTCGACGTCATGACGAAAATCATGACGTCGGGGGTCTGGGACACGAGACCCCGAGAGGGTGGGGCGCAGAGGGACATAGTGGTACTATCCCTGAGATCCTGGCGCTGCATTTCTTTTTCACCACGGGCGTTTCCGCCTCTTTTTTCGGGGACCCTCACATATCGATCCTGCTCGAGAAATGGTGCAGGAAAATGGGGTCTGGGGCTCCGGTCGTGACTTTTGCGATGTTGTATTTTCCAACGTCGGATCTAAGAGGGGGCGACACGTTACGGCGAGGGCATTGGATAAGGGGCCATGTGGGGGAACAGCAAAACCACCCCCGTAGTAATCACCCCGGCAGCGAAACCGTTCAGTAAACGCACCCGAGGAAGGTATCGAACATGGCATACAATGATGGCATGGCTGTTTGGTAGACGCCCAGGGCGCTCACTCAACGCCAATGATCAGGGTCGGGGTGGTTTTTCCTCCCTAAACTGAAGGGGCCCTGGGACACACAAATAAATACACACAAATAAAAGGATTCCCCATATTTTCCCATATTTTCCGGCGTCTTGTCTTCCCCCCCACTTCCCAAATTTTTCCGTATTTTCTGGGGATCGACGATTCATTGTGTCTGTGTGTTCTTTTTTCCCTCCTGATAGACATTAGAAAGCCTGCCGCCGTGGCTGCCGCACTGCTCCAGCCGAGGCGTGCGGCTCCTGCTTGGCCGCCCCGCCCAGAGGCCCCGCCGCGAGCTCGCCCCTCGCCCCTGGCCCGTGCGCGCGTGAAAAGAAATACGGCAGGTTCGTGTCGTGACGACCCCAGCGTTGGTATCTGACACCGCGTGGATCGTTCAACCTTGAACGATCGGCCGTTTCCGAAACGTCAGATCGTTCAACATCCACCGATTCTGGGCCCACGGCGGCGTTCAACAGTGAACGCCAGCGGCGGGGTCGCCGCTGGTCGACACGGCACGAACCTACCGTAAAGAGCTGCGCGCGGGCACAAACCCTCGACGCCGGCGCTGCTCGGAGGGGCAGGAGCGAGGTTTTGGGCCCCCCTCTGGCCGAACTCGGCGCGCTCCCCAGCGCGCCAGCCGCAGCGTCGCCAATGTGTTCTTCGTCGGCCGAGATTTCAATCAGCGCCCGCTTGCAGCTGCTGGCGGAAAGCTCTCCAGCCACGCTTCCATGCCTGTCTCCGCCGCGCTCCTGACGAGTCAGTCAAGCGGAAAGCCGCAATCCACTCGAAAGAGCTGTGTACCGACAAATCTAGCTTTACCTACACCGTTCATGTACGTGCCCTCCCCAGAAGAAATTAAACCAAGGAGGAGTGGTGATCTCGGAATTCGCGAACTTGGCCATCGAAATTGGCGGCCAACCGGAACCCAGGAACTCAGCCCAGCAAAACCAGGGGCACACAAGACGAAAATCCTGACACCATGTGCTAAGATCCCTTCCGTGCAAGCGTTAGCTGGGGCATGTCCAGGCCAAGCGTGCGACCCTGCGGCGGGACTCAAAAGCATGAGCGCTGCCAAACATTGACCACACCACGCAGCGCGTCATCACTCGCTCCTCCCAAGGTGTGGTCGCCCTGGGGTGTCTGCAAACCTGCTGGTCGCACTCCACTGAACGGAGTCCTTCGCCCGAAATCAGGGTCGGCGGGTGGACGGGGCGGACACGTTCGCGAGGCCCCCGCTCGGGACCCGACGCCACGGCACCCGTGCGCGCTGGCGATGCGCACCCCTTGCCAGACGCCGTGCTTCAGAGTGCGGATGCGTTGGGTGGGCCCGAGGTGAGACTCGGTGCGACAAGCAGGAGGGGGCTGAGGAGTCGCAGGCTGCGGAAGGGATGCAAGATCGGGGGCGTCCAAGAGGGGGGCGTGCAAGAGGGGAATGGCGCAAATCGTGGCTGGCGGCGTGTGCGCGGCCCACGGGGGTGGGCCGGGGACGTGTTGAAATAACCCGGACATGCGACGTCCTAACTTTTTCCATACGCGGTCCCCAGAAGTCTGGACCCTTTCCCCGGTGCGGGTTTTCCATAGGCCGAAAACGGCGAACAGCCTCCCGCCGTGAATTCTTTACGACGCGATCATGTCTGGGAAGAAGAGGCACGACGAAATCTGGGGACACGTCGTGGCCCCCGCCATGATATCCAACCCCCCTAGCAACCACCCCCGACAAGGGATGGGGAGGGCAAGCGGGCGAGAGGGCCTCCCTGTCTTGCCATTGCTCGGACGTCCGTTCCCCGCGCGTTTCTCGGCTTCGTGCGTGTACTTGTCGCGGGCTGATCCAGGATGCTCCCCGATTGTCCTCGTCGAGAAAACATGCACACGTCCGAGCGATGCCGAGGCTGTGCGCCATGCCCACCGCATGCCGCAGCGGGGGCGGAGGCGCAAAGGGCGGAGGAGGCCTTGGCACGAGAGGCACCGCACCAGGAGGGTTGGCCGAGAGTCGGAATCATACAGTGAAAACGTGTATTAAGGACGGGTGGCAAGGACGCAAGACCCGTGGATGCCGAAGTTGTGATTTTTTGGCCGGCGGGCGACAAATTGAAACAGCTAAGCACGGGCCGCAGCGACAAGGACACAAGGGTACCCTAGATGAAGGCGCGCGTCCTTACTGGGCGAGTTGACTGTAAACGTGGACGGGTAAGGGCTCTCGTCGCCCCAGCCCTTCCTGCATCTGCACGATCTCGCTCTGCAACTGCGCCTGCAAGTCCTGGGCGCAGAACCGGTTGGGCGCCGGGTGCGTGGTGATGCGCCCTGCGGGCGGCCATGATTGGCGACTCCGAAGGGTGTGGTTTGCAAAGGGTGTGCTTAGCATTAGGTCGGGCATGTCCCCCTACAGGCGGGTTCTGGACCAAAACTCAGAACATATTCAAAATCAAAAAATATCAGAGAAATTGTCCCCATACTATTTTTCGACTATTTTTGAATCTTCCTCCTGAAGAGGGACACGCCCGACTTACGCTTAGCAGCTCGCACCCTGGGGTCTGGGCGAGGACCTCGACAGAGCTCTCCGCCGCGCCCCGAGGAGGCCCGACGAGGGCAGCATGGTGCCCCCCGGCCACCAAAGACGCCGATCGCACCACCCTGGCGTAACCACACCCTGTGTTAGAGGAGAAACAACAAAACATAAAACATACAGTGGAGGCCAGTCCACAAGAAACCTTCCACAAGAAACCCAACCCTGAGACCCCAGGACGTGCACGGATTTTTGGTGTGGGAACGCCACGCTCTCCATCGCAAAACCATCGACACCCAAGAAACCCAGGGCGCCCTGGAGGCATGCAGGGTGTTTCTTGGCATGGGTCTCCACTGTAAACGTTCGACGGTCCGCACGGATTTCTTGGATCTGCGCTGGAGCCCCCTGGCGGCGCTGGGGCCAAGTGTCGAAGTGCGCAGAACACGTTGGCCTTGCAAAAGCCCCGCGCCCTGGCTGAGCTGGAGCACCTGGAATCTTGGGAAAGTCGTGTAAATCCTCCCTGTTGTACGCCCAGGGCTTCGTCGATACAATCTTGCCAACACGTCCGAAGGCTTTGTAGGAATCCCGCCATCGAAAAAGCCTCTGGCGCACGCCCTGCTGACAGCCAGCATAAGCACCGTAAAGACTCAGGGGGGCTCGCATGCTCCGAGGCCACCAAGCTTCGCGCATCGCGCCTGGCGATACGCGGTTATCTTCGCGCCCTCGCGCCGCCGCCCTGGAGATGGGCGCCTCTCCAACCGATGCGCGACATGCGATCATCTTCGCGCTCTCGGGAATGACCCAAATGCTCCTGCGCTCCGAGCACCTCAATCTGGGTTGTCTGGGCCTTTGGTGGGCTGCGACCGCCTTCGTGAACGCTTCCAAAATCTTGCCGGAGTCCGGGGTGGCCTCCTTCTCGCTGCAGCTCGGTGAGGCCTCGGGAGGGTGGTCCTGGCGGCCTCCGCCAGCCTCTGGGGTCTTGCGGGGGCCTGGTCGCCCCTGGGAGACGTCGGTGCGATGCGCCCTGGTCTTCGCCAAAGCTCGGGGGACCTTGGGGGGCTGCGGCCACCTTCGGGAACGCTTCCCAAACCTCGCTGAAGTCTTCAGGAGGAAGAGCAGGAGGATGAAGAGGAGGAGGAAGAGACGGAGGAGGTGGAAAAGGAGGAGGAGGAGCAGGAAGAGGAGGAGGAGGAGGAGGAGGAGGAGGAGGAGGAGGAGGAGGAGGTGGAGAAGGAGGAGGTGGAGGAGGAGGAGGAGCGATACTTTCGCCTCGCTGAAGCTTGGGGGCCTCGGGAAGCCTGGTGGGCCTGGGGTCTCTCCGCCTGCTGTACCTGGGCGCCTCTGGGAGGACGTCGGTGCGATGCACCCAGATCTTCGCCAAAGTTCGGGGAGCCTTGATTGGGAACGTGTTGCAGCAATCCTCTTTTCGTTACTGTTAGGTCGGGCCTATCCTCCTACTGGCGGGTCTGGGAAGAAAAATGAACAATAGTCACTAAATGCCCAGAAATACACAGAAATAGTAGAAAAACCGTCCCTAGACTATTGTTTTAACTATTTTTGAACTTTCCTCCTGTAGAGGGTCGTGCCCGACTTGACATTACTGCCCGTCGGGCCGTGGGCGCTTGGCGGCTGGCCAGGTTGGAGGGAGATCCCGCGCGCGGGTTCAGCATTTTGAGCTCGCTTGCTGGTTGTCCACCCGCCGATCGTGACGCACCTGGCTTCACCCTCGCTTCATGCTTGCTCAACCTGTGCTCGTAATCCATAAAAAACCTTTAATAGAATTCATAGCGCTGTTTCGACTCAGTGGCAACACCCGCGCACACTTTCGCTTTGGCCTAGGCTGCATCTCAGATCCAGAAAGCCTACACGGGGTCAAAGCAACTATTCTGTGAGCTTCAGCTTCGACGTCGGCTGTGTTGTGAACACAAACGATCATCGGTTCATACCACCTGGGTTGTGCGCGTATCAACTGTAGTTTCACACATGCTGGCCCGTAGTCGTCAGCATTCAAATGCTTGCTTTACCGCCTGCCCTGTCTGTAATATTCTCTGTATTATTCGGTTTCACTGTTTTTTGTTTCTTAAAGGAACGTGCGTGTATATAGATTATGTATATATACACAGATATATACGTATATATATATATATATATATATATATATATCGATACAATGTTCGATTGGTCGAATCAATTTTCTCCGCATTTCGCGAAA